ACCCATCGCAGGGCGCAATCACACACCATTCACTCACACAAGTACACTTACGGACAATACAATCCACCTTAGCACATTTTAGGACTGTGGGGGGAAAACTGGAGGAAACGCCACGACAACACAAACATGCGACCTCCACACACATGGAGGCATGGTGGAGACTGGAGCGCTGGTCTGTATAAACTCAGCATATCCCCTAAACGAAATGTAATAAACATAAGGATTTGCAGAATTTAAACAGATTACTGACTTTTGGGTGTCACAATAAAATTAATGTTTTAGGCATATTACTAATCTGCTTGTCAAGTCCGTATAATACTGAAAAGCTGGCGTCTGGACAAATGTTTACGCCCAGCATCTAAAGCCCTGGTGATTAGTGTATATGCACCATATAATCACAATTATACTGCAATGTGATATCATGTAGCCCTACTGAAGATGACAAAGACACTTTGACTTTGAGAGCAACTGGGAGCTGAGCTTGACTGAAAGCCAAATGGATGCTGTGCTGCTACCCAACCACTAGGAGGCAGTCAAACTGACCCAAGTCCCAAATGTATGCAGAGGTTCCATGTATATCAGACACCAGAGGTCCAGCATCCCCATCCTCCCCCCCAGCCTCGCCTCTGATGTTCAGGCAGCCTGTAAGGATCCACAGCACTCGCTTCATAGAAATCAGGCAGGAGACAGGCTTGGCAAACCAGGGTGGTATTTTACAATGATATAAAAATCATCCGGTCACGCTGAGGTGGTGACGGCCGCGCTGGGTTTTCATTCGCTCCTTTGCCGTGCCGTGGGGATCCTGCCTGGACTGAAACTCCACAGATCCCATTTTTTTCGGCAGTGCATTGCTGTAGTGCGGCTCTGTATCAGCACTTGTCACTTAAAGGTCGTGTTATTAATATCGAAACTGAAAAGGGAAAATAGTCAGCAGTAAATGTAATACAGTAAACAGGGGTGGGGGGGGGGCTGGCTTGCGCGGAGCGGCTTGTTAAAGGATATGAATGAGCAGGTTCCAGTCAGTCCATCTGCATTTTAATCTGGCCCCACACTCCATCCATCCATCCACCCGTCCATCTATCCATCATGCTGTCTTCTATTCGCTTTTCCTGGCTCATGGGGGTTAGGGGTTAGGTTTAGGGTTAGGGTTAGGGTTCCTGCTGCACTCACAGCTCTGGAGCCACACCCCAGCTTACATATCCCTTATACTATTAGCACGTAGGCCACGGCCACAACACGCAAACACGTATAGCCCCGCAATGCCTACATGATTATTCCCACAACACATACATGCACTATTCATGCAGTTACACATAGAACTCATATTACGAGAATCCCAATGGTAGTGTGTGTGTGTATCTGTGTGTGATGGACAGAGAAACAGAGACAGGTGTGTGACGTCATAATAATGCATCCGATGGCTAGGAGCCGTGGGGGTACTGAATGGGGGGGGGGAGGTCACAGGGATATGCTGCTTATTCAGTCAGTCGCCACTCAGTGGCTCAGTATGGGGGGGGGGCACGAGGGAGTCCTGGGGCGATCCTCTCACCATGCTGATGTCTCCAGGGGTTCCGTAGTGGGTCACAGCCTGCAGAGGGCCGGACTCACTGGGAGATGTCATCATCCTCGCTGCTCACGTCAAAAGGGGCAGCAGCACTCGGCGTGAGCTGTGGACCGGCACCCCTGCGCTTGGCCGAAGGTCAGGTGATCACCATTGCATTTGAGCCTGGCCGTCAGGCACCCTGAGAGCTTCATAATCGGGCTTTGGACCGGAATATTCCAGCGAGGCAGCGACTTCGGAAATGGAGCAGAAGCTATAAAAGGTAGAGAGGAGGATGCGTACTGCAGTGCCAAGCGACGGCACCCACGGCGCAGTGGCACCCTAGGGGGCGCTTGTTGGACGACGACCGACCGCAGATGTGAGTGGACTCCTTCCTCTGCTAACCATCCGGTAATCCCCTGTAATAAAAAGCGCTGGGAGTACCAGGGGGCGGGGCACTAAATGAGCCGCATCGATTATAGGACTCGCTGTGGCGGAATGTTCCAGCACGTCGCAGACGCGGCCGGCGGGAGCCTGGATGTCTGCCGCAGCGCTCAGGCTGGTAACGGGAGCCCAGGGTTTTCGGGACAGGGTGTGGCTTCTGTGAAACGCCCCCGAAGCCAGAG